CCCCCCCCCCCAAAAAAACACAAATTACATCTTGCACATTGTGCTGGCCCTGCACATCGATCATATTAAACAGGGGTGGGATTCTAGCGGTTCTGTCCACTTCTGTAGAACTGGTTGCTCTGAAAAGCAGCAAACAGAGTATACATAGAACCGGTTCTATGTCTGCTGCTGTTAAGAGCCCACCCGGGCTCTTACCTGACCTTTATTTCCTGCATTTTCAACTGCAGCTGCTTTGCGCGACACAGCTGCAGTTGAAAAAGCAGGAAAGGGCTTTTTCAACCGCTGCACACCCGTGCGCAGCACTGCTCAGCTGTCCAGGCAGCTAGCTGACGACAATATACATGCGCACGCAGCAAAATGTAAAATCACTGAACCAGTAGTTACACCAGTCAGATCCCATCCCTGATATTAAAACCTAATTGTGGTGTTATGTTGCGTTGAGAAGTCTGACAGCCCACAGATAAAAGCTATTTTTCAGCCTATTCATTCGCCTGGCTACGCTTCTATATCTCCTGCCCGATGGTAGGAGAGTAAAGAAGTGCTGACCAGGGTGTGAATTATCCCTGAGGATTTTCCTCACTCACCTGAGGCAGCAGGACCTGGCGATTTCATCCAGTGGTATCAGGGGACAGCCCATAATTTTTTGTGCTATGCTCATCACCCTCTGTAATGCCTTTTTATCTGCGCCTGTCAAGCCAGCATACCATACTGTAACACAATAAGTAAGGATGCTTTCTAACGTGGACCAGTAAAAGGAAGTCATCAGTCATTGTTTCACCTGATATTTCTGCAAGACACTATGTCAATGGAGTCTCTGTTGAGCCTTCCTGACCACTTGGATTGTGTTATTTTTCCAGGTGAGATCTTGGCTAAGGTGGCCTCCCAGGAATTTGAAAGAGGAGACCCTCTCCACACAGCTCCCCCTTGATGTAGAGTGGGGCAGGTTCCTCTCTCTGCTTCTGGAAGTTTAACCATCTCCTTTGTCTTGCTGGTGTTTAGATGCAGCGGTGGGATTCTACCAGTTCGCACCTATTCACTAGAACCAGTTGTTAACATTCTAAGCAGTTCAGAGAACCAGTTTTTAGAAGAAATTACTGGCCTAATCCTGTAAGGAAGGCAGGAAGGAAACATTCTGGGGTTGCTTACAGAAACGGCCTCTGTGTTAACCCTTATTACATTCTTGGCAGGACTAGACTTCCTGTCTCAGGAACTTCTCTAGAGTTTTTTTCCCTCCTTTGCTTGTGTGGAGTGACCATTCAAAGTTACAGTGGCACTGAAACAGTGACTTATTACCATTTCTCACACTTACGACTGTTGCAGCATCCCCACAGTCACGAGAGGCCAGGCAAGGAGATGCGTGCCTCGATGTAAGTGATATTGAGTTGGCCACACCCAGCCAATAACATGGCCACCAAGCCACACACACCAACTAAACCACGCCCACAGAACCAGTTGTTAAAAAATTGAATCCCATCCCTGTTTAGATGCAAGTTGTTTTCTGAGCATCATGTGGACATCTTCCCTGTATGCTAATTCGTCTCCTCCTATAATAAGATCCAGTCCGGTGGTATCATCTGCAAACTTTGTTATCACATTAGATGGATTAGAAGATATGCAGATAATAGGTATTAGAAGATATTCTCAGGAGAGGTTTCCTTTAGGAGATTTTAGGAGGCTTGGATGAGGGTAATCCAAACACAACCAAATACCAGTAATCAGAAAAGGTAGTCCTCAATTTACAACAGTTCATTCAGTAACTGTTCAAAGTTACAACAGTACTGAAAAAAGTTGCTTATGACAATTTTTCATATTTATGACTGTTGCAGGTCACATGATCAAAATTCAGATGTTTAGCAATTGGTTCATATTTATGACAGCGGCAGTGTCCCAGGATCATGGGATCACCTTTTGAGGGCTGGATGCAGGAATGTTTCTGACACTTGCCCACAGCCCATGCCTCATGAATTCTTCACATGTGCTGATCAGATCTCCTTAATATCTCTTATTTGCTTTTGTCTTCATGTGAGGTATAAATCCAACTTTTCTGATTGATAAGTCATAGCTTTTTATGGACCAGGTATGAACAAAGCTACTATGGTTTATTCAATTTCTAGATGTGATGAGTGGCACATAAATCTAGTAAACAAACAAACACACAATGTTAAAATTGTTTAAAGAGCCACAGGTTAAGCCATCAGGCTAAAAACCAAGAGACTGTGAGTTCTAGTCTCGCCTTAGTCAGAAAACCAACTGAATAACTTTGGGCCAGTCACTCTCTCTCAGCCCAGCCTACCTCATAGGGTTGTTGTTGTGGGGAAAACAGAAGGAAGAAGGAGCATTAGGTATGTTCGCTGCTTTGGGTTATTTATAAAAAATAACAAAGGCAGGATAAAAATAAAATAAAATAAACAAACGATGGCTTAGTATGGTATATGAATTCAGTGAATTATCTGGGTTTATCCTTAAGTTTCTTCCTTTTTTTCTCATTCTAATAGGAATCTTTTCAAGTGCCTTCTCTTTTTGAGACAGGATTGTTTAAAAATAGTTACTATAATTTTTTGAAACAATTATGGAATTTTTCTGGAAGAGGGATATCTGATTCATTCTAATAACCACTTTAGAAAAAGGGATGAAACAAACAAACAAACAAAAACAACTTTGTGCCTCTTTTGCTTGGCTGTATTTATGAACTATATTTAGAGTTATAAGTTGGATTCTGATTTTTTGAATGTTGAAGTTTTGTCAATTTATTTTTGAGAAGAACTGTTAGATTCTTCTCTTTCTGTCTAGTGTTCTGGACAATCTAGAATTCCTCTGCAGACACTCACTATATGTTTATATATTTTCTTAACTCAGATTGCTAAATTTTATTCTGGTTTTTTTTTAAAACAAGTTTTTATTAATTTTAAAAAACAATACAAAAACAAACAAAACGTAGAATAATAACATAGGACAAATTTTCTTAAAAAACCAAACAAATAAAACATCTTAAAGACAGGATAATTCCAAATTATCACATTTCCATACCAACACAGTTTAATATGTATATTCATTTTATCTGTTCAACTTCGTATCTTTTCCCAACTTCTCTTTATTTCTCCCTTTCCTTCTATTCAATTATATTTCTTTTGCCTTAAATTGTATATATTCATTATATCCATCTGTCTTATTTAAAATTTCATTGTTCTCTTCCAACATTCTTCTAACGTTTTGATAAACAAACAAAGCACAAAACATAAATACATAAAACTTCTTTTTGGAAAGTGGCTTACCCCGGGTAACATATTTTTGTACAGACATAAATCAAATTCATTCTCACTAATATACTATTTCATATCTTATTTAACATTCTACATTTTCTATGTATTTTCTCTCTTCATTCACTCTCTTCATTCTATTTTATTTATTTCATCTCAGTTTAAATAATTATACTTGCATCTTTTGTCCGTTCTCTTTCAATTATCTCTTTTTCTTTTCTTTCTAATACAATATTTCTCCTGTAATGACTGGTTGAAGTATGACAACTTTTTATCTTTCCCCTAAATTTAACACTTTTAAGTAAATTTTATTCTGGTTTTGAACAGAGCAAATACCTAAAACATTAATAATGTAAGTTGGGGGGGGGGGAATAGAAAATCATCTGATTCCCCAAGAAGCAAAAGGTCTTCTGAGTTAATGTCAGTCGGAGGACAGCAGATTAGATTCTTGTTTTCCTCTCCCACAATCATTTTCTAATCCTGATATAGATATTAGCTGGGATCACAAAAATACTATGGGGTTTTTCTCTGTGTTTATGTTTACAGGTAGGGAGAGAAATGGGGATTTATGATTTGCCCAAAGGCATCATTAGGCAAATGAGCAGATCTCTGAGGTTACTGATCTTTGGAGAGCCCAAAAACGGGTATCACTTCTGCTTTTCTGGTGGACTCAGCTCTGTCACCCTAATTGTTGGCCATATCAAGCCACTCTGATCCCTGACATCAGTGCACTTACAATACCACCCCCACCTGTCTCTCCAGTGGTGGAATTCCCCACTATATGCCTGAGTCACCTATAGTAGCAAGATAAATACAATCCTAGTTCTTCTGACTCCCAGTATCAAAGAAGGTCCTCCAGTATCACTTGAGGTTCAGTCTAAAATCTTCAGAGATGATGCTGAACCCAGGGCATCCCTTGCAGAGCAGCCTTCTTTACCTCCTCCTTGTCCTCCTATTTACTGTTTCCAGAGGAATGAGGCTGCGCAGGGAAAGCAATATAGATTGGCAGGGTTGCAAAACTGCCTCACAAGAGATCCTCAAGCACCTGCAGGAGCTGAATGTGACTGAAGTGGTGAGTAGAAACAGAAGGAGAACGCTTTGACTTCTTCACAGAAAGCGGTGGGACTTGGATAGCAAAAAGGATAAAGGAGCATATAGATTTAAAACCAGAAATATTTCTGTAGGGTATCATACCAAAAATATATAATCAGGGGACTGTGTATCTAATACTGCATGTATTAACAGTGGCCAGAATTGTATTTGTACAATATTGGAAAGGTGTGGAGATCCCTACAGAAGAGAAGATAATTAAAAAAAAGTGCAGAAATGGATAGATTAACACTTGAAATTAAAAAGAAGGAAGATAAGGAATATTTTGAAATATGGGATTCATTTTATCAATTGTTAACTAACAGAAACAGAAGTACAACATTTAAAATTATAAGAGAAGGATTAATTTTACTATGAGGGCTTATTACGATATGTTTATTATTAATATGATTTGGTATTAACAATTAAGAAGTATTAATATGTTGAGAAAATACTATTATTATATGATCACTACTAATGAACATTATTACTATTATGATGATGACCATTGCTCAAATTAACTGTAACCAGACAACACATTGTTTATATAGATATTGAAACTCTTGCTTTTTCTTTATATAGTAAAAATTTAAAAAAATATTAAAAAAAAGAATGCAGTGGGACCAAATTCCAAATAGGAAGTCTGGGCAGGGGAAAAGCTGACAGATAGTGATGGGGAGAACCTCATCATGATTATAATTATGTAGGTTGTTCTTAATACCTTTTGGCAAATTGAAATGTTTGTTTGGGTTTAGTTAGTTGGAAGTGACCAAGCTTTTCTCTCCATTGAGTGATCTGAATGGGACTACAGCTTTATGGTGGACTGTCACGGTTGAGATCTCCAATTAGAGGTGAGGCCCTAAACCAAGGGTCTTCAAACTTGGCAAGTTTAAGACTTGTGGACTTCAACTCCCATAATTCCTGAGCTAAGGAGGAATTCTGGGAATTGAAGTCCACAAGTCTTAAAGGTGCCAGTGAAGACCCCTGCACTAAACTGAAAATCTTGGATGCATCCCTATAGTTTTTGCAAGCTATGGTTTATGATTTTCCATGTTGTGCCAAACCAGTTAGTTGTAGTTTCTTTAATAAACTCTAGCTGAGCAAAGAAATGGCTTAGAGGGCTGCAAAAAGATGGCCTAGCAGTTATAAGAGTGAGATTGGGATCTGGATCAGGAAAATTCTAATCCAAATGCCAACCCCATTCATATTGCATCCGAAAATTCTCCAATGGGCATTTTCTTTCCTGCAATGCAAATAGTAGTTAGTCATGAGGTGCCTGATTTCATTTAAGAGCTTGAGTGTGTTTGAAAGGTTAAGTACATCTTCTCCTGATCCGGAGATCATGCTTGGTATCATTTTCTGGAAGAGTTTTCCTTAGCCTAAGGCTGGGATGTATGACATCTTCCTGATCAAGAGACAACTGTTGGGTGAAGTCAGGTCAGAAGCAACATGTGATTTTATTTGATGCACATGTACGTTTTGGCACCAAATATAGCTAACATGATTCATTGGGATTTCATGTTTAATAAAGTTAGAGTCGTCAGTTATTGGAAGGTTCAGCTGCCTGTCAGCCTGGGCTCTTTATGCATCCCTTCGGTAAAGAAAGGAGCAAGATAAAGGGAAGGTAACTTCCAACTGAGTTATTGATAGAAAAGAATATTTGTAGCTCAGGGCTGAACTGTGGGGTCCTTGGTGCTCTCTGAGTTGGATGGTTTTCTTGCAGCAAGGACCCCACAGCTGAGTTGTTTCTTTTTGCTTAAGGACAAGGATTTGGCTGAAGAAGGAGGTTTATTTTCAGGGTTTTAATAGGAGAAAGTATAGGAAAAGGGGCGTTTCATGGGAAAACTGACAAGATTTGAGAGCAAGCTTGAAGCATTATTCCAGTATGAAGAAGATCAGGCAAGAATCGGGAATGTCTTAAAATCACACTTGCTATGAATTTGCTCCAGATAAGGGCTATCTCTCATAGCCTCCTAACCCCAACATAAAGATGCCTCTCTAATTATTAAAAGATTCCTTATGTCCTCTTTATATACTGTGGTCAGTGTTAAAATACCATTTTTATGTTTCTCCCAGCATATGTCCTGACATAGGAAATAATTACACAATGAAGTTGAGGATGGGATTGGCAGTCTTATTGCCAATTTTAGACTGTCCAGGCAGATCTTTCCCTTCATCCTCCCTCTCTCCCTCCCTCCCTCCCTCCCCCTCTCTTTCATTATTCAGCCATCCTCCTTGGATGCAGGGGGGAAAAAACACCCTACTTTTCCACACAACTAGCTTTCAAATGGCCACACAACCTCCTCTGTCATCTAAGCTAGGACAAGTTGGGGGTGCTACTATGAAAATATGGTTCTTCTTGTCTTCCAGGAACCACAAAGACACATGGTTAAGAATAGGAGCCCCCCCACTCAGTCTTCTGCTACCTGTAGCCCCTCAAATGGATGATAGTCAAGGAGTAACAGTTTACTCCCTTCCTTTCTTTCTATCTGTCTCTTCCTTTCCTGACCTACTGTCCTTCTAATCTGGTAACTCAGTACCAGGCTTTGAGAGATACAGGCAGTCAGGGTGGGCTTCAAAAATTTTAGCAAAGGGTTCTCTGCCCGGTTGCTGAGTGGACGTGGTCACGGTGGGTGTGGCCTACTCGGCCTCCTGCACCATGGTGCGGGGGGGGGGGCGTTTTTGCTCTCCCTGGGCTCTGGAGGCTTTCCTCGAGACTCCAGGAGAGCGAAAATGGCTTCCCTAGGCTCCGGAGGGTCTCTGGAAGCCAGAAACAGGCCCATTTCCAAACTTCCAGGTCTGTTTTTCGCCCTCCCTGAGCTTCCGTAACAGTGGTGGGTGGGATTCAATTTTTTTACTGCTGGTTCTTTGGGTGTGGCTTGATGGACATGGCAGGGGAAGGATACTGTAAAATCTCCAGTCAGAAGTGGTATTTGCTGGTTCTCCGAACTACTCAAAATTTCCGCTACCGGTTCTCCAGAACTGGTCAGAACCTGCTGAATCCCACCTCTGCTCTGTGTGCACCCTGCACTTACCTGCATCCAAAACATGTCGGGTGGGGACTCCTGGGAGGGGTGGGGTGGGCGGGGCCAGCCAGCAGTGGGCATTCGGGGTTCTCCGAACTGTACAGAATCTTAGTTAGAGGTTCTCCTGAACTCCTGCGAACCCCCAGCAGTCCACCCCTGCAGGCAGTCCTTATGACCACAGTTAGGGCCAGAACTTCTGTTGCTAAGCGAGGTAGTTATAAAGTAAGCCATGCCCAATTTTACACTAATCTTTGCCACCATTGTTACACGAATCGCTGAAGTCGTTATAGGTGAATCATCCAGTCGTTAAGCAAATCCAACTTCCCCCATTGTTTATGGTTGTCAGAAGCTGGCTGGGAAGGTCACAAATAGCAATCATGTGACCCAGGGATACTGCAAATGTCCTAAATACACAAACAACTGCTGAATGCCCAAATTTTGATCACATGAGCATGGGGCTGCTGCAATAGTCATAAGTGTGAGGACCAGTTGTAAGTCACTTTTTTTTCGAATAGTCCCTAAATAAATGGTTGTAAGTTGAGAACTACCTCTATCCTTCAGGAAGAGCAATTCTTCACCTGCAGGTGATGTTAAAGGAATCTACCAACCGCTTCCCTTAATTTTTCCCACATTAAACATGAAAGGTCATCATCACACATCCATCTTACCTAACACCCATGAACCAATGTAACCAAGAGTGAATACAGAATAGAATTCCCATATTGTACATCCATCAGCACATCTGATGAAGAAAGTGAAACAAAATCCAAAATCTGACAGCAAATGTTGAGAAAGCCGTCCCAAAATATTTTCACGTAAAACGGTTTACTGAAAAATCTCAACCACTTTTGCTCTTATCTAGAACATTCTCATCCCCTATAAAACAAATCTGATTCCGATATTTTAAATAGAACTCTCCCCACCTGTAACTTATTTTTTTTTTAAAAAAAGTTTCATATTCAATCTTACTGCTTTTCATTTTGAAACCACATGCTCTGATGCAACTGCTGCTTTTTCCCTACTCGTTACTCTAGTATTGCAGCATGGTTGTCCCCTGTGTTCACATGACTAAGGGGGGAAAAACATCCTTTTCCCAATGCTTAGCCACACTGATGTAGCATAACTGAAAATATTCAGGCCCCATGAATCTGAGGTAAAATGATTTTTAGGTACCTGAGGTAGCTCAGGCTCTGCTAAATGAGTTCCAGCCAATTAACCTAAATCAAGTATGCTTCATGCGCATGACATCTTGCTGGATATTATTTCTTTTTCTGGTGGATAATTATGGTTGGTTGCACAGTCAGCCAGATCTTTAGACTGGATTTGGCATTTTAGTCCTTCCCAAGGGATAGGGATGGATTAGGCAGATGCTGTTGTTTGGTATTATTATTTATTTACCATTAATTATTTAATTAATATAGTTGAATTAAAATTACAGGTTTCATAGATCAATTTAATTAAATAATAATTTGTCAATTACAAAAGACCACAGTGTTTGGATCTATCTATATGTACACCAGGGCTGTCAAAGTCCTGGCCTGCAGGCTGGATGAGTCACATGCTGGCCACACCCATGCCCGGTTTAGCAAAAAGGAAAAAAATCCCCATACATTACATGGCGACGCCGTGACAATGTGCGTTTGACACCCAATGTGTACTATACCAATACATTATGAGATCCTAGGTTCTTGGGAAGGACTTGAATGAGGGTTAACATCAGCTAAAGAACTGGCAACTGTGATTTCATGTCGCTGGGTATATCATCATCATCATCATCATCTGCCTATCTAGGTCTATAAGCAGATAAAAAAACCAACTCCAGTCTAAACATGTGGCTGACTTTGCAACAAGCCATAATATATTAAACTTGTATGCCAGTGACTCTTAATGATTCTTGGTGGCTCACAACAAACCAAGAAATTACAATAAAACATACAAAAATGAAGAAAAATATAGCAAGTATGATATAATCAAAGTCTCCTCCCTTACCGAAGGCCTCAGTGAAGAGTAAATATAAACATACGATTAAGCTACTTGCTCTACCCATTTTCAAGACCAATTTGGATTCACCTTTGAGTTGTCATCTGAGACCTGTATTTTATTTTTCTGATCACTTGTATTCATACATCCATCTCTCTGTGTCTGTGAATTTGTCACTTGTGACTAGATTCAGAGGCAGATTAGGCTCCTATGAAAGACCACATTTTGCAATTCAGTTTTTCTTAAATTTGTCACAACCCACAGATGTGACAAGGCCCATTTCTTAGAACTGCTGAAATTAAAATATCTTGCTCATGTTTTCCTTTTGATCTTTCTCAGTCTAATCATTTCTTAAATTTTAATCTGCCTTTTTTTCTGAGAACTCAAGGAGGCTGTAATTTGGGAGAGGGTCTCTCCTCATTTTATGACCATCACATTTGTGAAGTGGATTGGTCTGAAAGTGTGTTTGGCCCAAAGTTCTAGGATCACGTGAGCTTCTGTCTCCCTAGTCCTACTCAAAAAAGATTAGAAATGTAGACCTGGAAAGGATCCAGTGGTGGGATTCAAAATATTTTTACTACCGGTTCTGTGGGCATGGCAGGGGAAGGATATGATAAAATCCCCATTCCCTCCCCACTCCTGGGGGAAGGATACTGCAATATCCCCATTCCCTCCCCACCCCACTAACCTGCTTTCCAGCTCCGTTCTCCTGTGCAGGGCAACAAAAGAAGACCCAGCTGATCAACTGGGACTCAGGAGGCAGGAATAGATGGGGGCGGGGCCAGTCAGCGGTGGTATTTGCAGGTTCTCCAAACTACTCAAAATTTCCACTATCGGTTCTCCAGAACTGGTCAGAAACTGCTGAACACCACGTCTGAAGGGATTATTTAATTTTGCACATATCCAAATCCAAATGCTTGAAAAATGGCTGCACAGTCTTTACTTGAATACATACAGAGAAGCAGGAGGAGGCGGATAGACAGACATTTAGTTTAGTTTACTTAATTGTCATTGCACCTCAAACAGCAAAATTAAATACCATCTTCAGTATACATTGTCTCTATAAAAAATAAAACACAAACACACATCCTTCATATTCTATAGAATTGAAGAAAACCCTTGATATTGCATTAATATTGTGCTATATAGTAGAATTCAATATAGCTACTGCTCTGGGATTTAACACTGTTTTTCAGCCTGTTTGTCCTTGTTTTCATTATCCTGTACTGTCTGCCAGATGATAATAGTTTTAAAAAGGGTGCCTACAATGAGATGGATCTTTGAGAATGTTTGGAACTTTCTTAAGGCAGCGGGAGCTATAAAGCTCTTCCAAAGAGGGGAGAGGGCAACCAATGATCTTCTGGGCAATGACGTTAACCCTCTGAAGTGCTTTCCTATCTGCCACTGTGCAATTGGCAAACCATACACAGGTGCAGTAAGTTAGAAGACATTTTCTACTCAATATAATTTTAGAACAGAAAAAAAAGAGGTGAACAAGATTAAAGGTAAGATGTATATGGTAGGGATGGATGTATTCCCACCCTCATTTTTGTTTCAAGTATGCTCTTTATATTTAGTGCATCTTTATATTTAGTACATCTTTATATTTAGTGCCTCTATTTTTCCCCCCTAGGAAAAACCGTTAATTATTTCATTTCCTCAACGGATTGAATGCAACGATCACTGTGATCCAGATTCCTTGGGCAAGAATAGCATGGTAATTATGTATATCCAAATCAAGCCGTATTGAAAAACTTAAAGATGTCACAAACAGTAAAACAATACTTCATTCTACCAAACTGTGATTTCTGTAATCTTGGTGGTTTTAAACTACTCTAAGAACAGTTGCAAACTATAACTGTTTATTTTTTATATACATTTAGATCATTTCTCCATTAGTGACGTAGAGTTTTTCTAAAATCATCCAGTTGTAATTGTACAAAAATAATAGTTATGCAGACTGGCTTCATATTCACTTAAGTAATGGCTGAACGATTATTATGGAGTTAATTGTACAAAACAGAACAATAGTGCTTAAATTGTGTTCTAAGGAAAAATTATGATTATGATCATGATTTGTTGCTTGCATGTACACTGAGAAATTATACCCCAGAGACAAATTCCTTTTGTCCAATCATACTTGGCCAATAAAGAATTGTTCTGTTCTATTATACTATTCTATTCTTTGTTATTAAATATATATGATGACCCTCTCACTGATAAGTTGACTCTGGAGATTTCTTGCATAGAAATCTATTATGGGTATGCCAAATTTCCCTAAAAGGTTACTTGTCCAATACAGAAATACAGTATGTAGAGAATTCACAAAGCGTCTTCATAAGCTGGCCTGAGGAATCTGGCTAATACTAAACCCTTTGTGGCAGACCTGCAAGATTGTTCTTTGAGCTGTTGAATATGAAGGCCGCTTTTCTACAAGGTTTATAGCTGGCAATCAAAGAAGGAGGGCCAAGATAGAAGCTTTCCAACTTTGCATGACAAGAGAAAAATTAGTACATATTAGTACATTTTCTTCAATAAGCAGCCCCAGTCAGACGTCATCATTCATATTTAGTGGGGGGGGGGGTCTCCAAACTTGGCAACTTTTAAGACTTGTGGACTTCAGCTCCCAGAATTCCTCAGTCAGCTTGGCTGGCTGAGGAATTCTGGAAGTTGAAGTCCACGAATCATTTGGAGACCCTCGATAGTTAGCAAAACACCTATTTTAAAGGATGTTTTAAAAGCAGCTTTGAGGCTGGCATTTTAAAAGTGGGAGGGGAGGGGGGTTAGAGGAGGGAGATGATCACACAAGTTCTGTTCTTACCAGAGTGTGAGAGCAGAATGGCTGCCCAAAAGATTGCCAGCACCTGTGCTGCTTTTGTCCTGTCTCTTTAAGCCCCCTCCTCACCTCAGCAAGGCAAGGTTGCCTATAAAAGCTGAGTGTGGGGAGGGAGAGGAAGAGAAGAGGGAGGGGTGTGGTGGCAGCCCGAAGCAACTTGAATGGGATGTTTTTCTCTAGCAGTACTCAGAAGAAGTACTAGTAGGAAGAGTAGTTGTGGAGAAGAGTGTTTAATGTTTAATAGTATTGAAGTGCTTGTGTGTGTTGTCTAGGGACCTGTGTTGTTAGCTCTTTTGGGTCTTGAGCGCATCAAATTGAGTAGTTAAAAGAACCCATGACACAGAATTCCTCAACCAAGTAAGGAACAAGGAAGCCTGTAGCTTTGAACAAATTCCCTCTATTGAAGGATCTCCAAGTCTCGTTTGTGAATCGAATTAAAATGACCACCAGCTTTTGTTCTGTCTTAGCTGTGTCTGATGAAGATTAGTCGGGGCCTTCATCGTTACCAGGAACTTCTGACACAGTATGCAACGTCAGATACAACTGAGCTCCGAACCGCTGTGACTAATTTGTTGCAGCTCCTTCCAAAAGTAAGTATGATTATGAGGCAAAAGGAGCTGATAACAGGGACACTGCAACAATGCAAGTGCAAGGACTGGTTGTCACTATTGACTACTTCTCAAGAAGGCACTAACCATGTTAGGAAAGGCTCTTATTTTTAAAAGGAATAAAGTTACATCCCTTACACCCCCTACTACTCTCATAGCCGCTTTCATACTGTAAACGTAAGAAAGTCAGGCAATTCCTGAAGAGGACCTATAGCTCCAAATGTCCCCCTTCACCCTTTTAGTCACTGGTCCAATTGTGCCAAATGATTTTCTCTAACTCAAGCATCGAAACACGTGTTGCTAGGATGAGCATTCACAAGGACCGACGCCTTGATAATTGGATAAAATGCAGATCTGACTTATGTTCTTCTCTAACTACAGAATGAAAGCAGCAGTCCAGCCCAACAAATGCAAGCATGGGAGAAACTGCATGTAATGGATACCATCTTACAGCGCCTGCAGTTGTTTGCCATTTTGGTGGCCCGCGTCTTTTCCCATTGTGCCGCATTGAATAGGGATGTAACTATCTGAGCTAAAACAATGCTGGGATGGGGAGAGAGAATATTCCATTATAAACCTTCACACACATGCACATTATCCAAAAAATACAATTCATTCCTTGGGAATGCAAAAACCAACAAAGTTAGGGGAGGGTGACCTGGGAGAAACAGGGTGTGTCCATTATGTGCTCTTATTTATTTAATATACTTATTTAATGTATTTATTTTTATTTATATGGCTCAATTCCTGTTGTGCACGGCAGTGCTAGTGACTAAGTATATATAGGAAAATTAAGTGCCAACTATTAATATCAAAAGTGGGGGAAATCACTCAAGAATCTCACGCTTTCATTTACAATGTAAAATGTATGTTCATCCTCTTTTGAGGGATTGTGAAAACAGTGTTTTGTATGATTGACTACAATAAAAAGCTATATTTATGTGGTTGAAATGAATTCAGCAGTTCCATAAATGGAAAAAAGACATAGAGGTGGGAGATTTTCCCCTCTCCTCTAGTATCCTACAGGGGCAGAGCAGAATGCTGCCTGAACTCATCCAGTGCTGCAATATGCAAAATTATATGTAACTGAGCTGCTTTCGTTGACATCTTTTATACAGTGCTGGGATGACAGGAACTATGGGGGCATCATTGGTAGAGAGCCTAGACTCCCACTACCTTTTCCTGGAAACCTCCCTTTCCCTGGTGGTGTCCCAAATTTTAACACTTCTATTTCAATGTTTTATAATAAATCAGAATTTGCCAAACTGTTAGTTTTAAAAATCGGAAGACATAATGCTGTGACAGCTGTGCTGCAGTAGGCCAATGTCATCACTCCTACAATTTATTATCACAGACCTTTACATCTGTATCTTACAGACCGTGCCTCATGCTTGACAGGAGAGAAATACCAAAGCCAGACAATGATCTGAATGTTTTTATTAAAATAAAAGGAGTGAATAAAAGACCCCAGAGTTGCAGAGGATAGCAAAAATTACACACACGTATTTGAGGAAAGGGTTGGTGTGGATGTAGCTCATATTTGCTCAATTTTACCAAAGTACAGTTGCCACTTCTCCAAATGATGGGAAATTCCAGAACAGTTTGACCGGGCCAGCTTCCCATAAAGAATGCAGACTGAAGCCACGTTTTGTAGCATCTATTTATTTACAGATTTATAGCTGAGAGGCAAGGCAAACAGAAATGAAAGCTCAATATTAGTCATTGGTTACTGTCATGGTAACTCTAATTCTACAAGCAACAACTATGATATTTTATTTTTAAAACAAACACACCTGCTAATAAATTAGATCAGGGGTGTCAAACTCGAGGCCCACAGGCTGGCTTCGGCCCACAGGGTCTTAAATCTGGCCCATGAGGACGGCCTGGAAATATCAAAGGACAGGCCCGCTGTCCATTTAATCTACAATCAACAATCTAACTGACAGCTATTTCTATTTACTATCCTGGAAATTTACCTCTGCTGTTAGATCTTGTATTATCATGTTATGTAAGCTATTGTATTTTTATTAGTAGTTGAATAATAAAAATACAATAGTATAGCTTTTCTGCCTGGAAAACCAATTTATTATTAAACAATGGGGTATAAATTTAGAAATAAAAAGTTTGGTGGAGTATGAAGAATAAGTAATAAATATTTGCCCATAATATCTGGTAGAAGAGATAGGAAAATGGTTATAGTAAAGAACTGTGGAAAGAAAGAAGGGGAAAAATGCCTCTTGAGCCTGTGTCAAACGCCCACCATGGACATGCCCACCCAGCCACTCACACCCGGTCCTCTGAGGTCAAACACAGCCCTGATGCAGCCCTCAATGAAATCGAGTTTGACACCCCTGACTTAGATGGATGCTGAGCCATTAATTCAAAAGGTCTACCCAGTTAATTGAATGAGAACATCATTTTTATATTCCTGGGTGTCTTTTTCCCCACTACTTTTCTAGATTCTAGTAAATTATATCTTTTGTCCAAAGATTTATGGAGAGAAGTTAAGAGAAATCAGAGTATATTTTCCTACATGCCGATGCCCCTGATTGTATATTATAGGCAAGAAAGAATGGGGGGAATAAAGGACATGTGGAGAATTGTGTGTGTATCCTACAGACACAGACCTACAGACTTATACTTCTACCTTAGAATAAAGAATCAGTAAATCATCAATATCATTTCCAGGAGTGTCATAATATGTACCCTCAAGATTGAGCAGGCATTGGAAGTCTGGGTCATCCACCCGCAACTGTGGGATATCAAAGGGGCTGGAAGGTTCCTGTTGCTCTTCATTTGACTGGAAAAGAAAAGGATCTAAGAAAAAAGAAGACGGGAGAGCAAATCAGCCAAACTAAAGTCAGAAAGACAAATGAGAGAAATAAAGAGAGAGAAATAAAAAGAGAGAGAGAGAAATAAAGAGAGAGAGAGAGAGAGAGAGAGAGAGAGAGAGAGAGAGAGAGAGAGAGAGAGA